GTACAGTTGGATAACGGAAAAATTTACAAAAGAAGATAATTTTACAGCACAGTGTAAAATACAATCTTGCAAAAAGACTGTTAAATACGTGCAGTGTAGTACAATACGTAAAGAATCCTTTAAGAAACACGTAGAAAACAAGCATCGAGATTATTATACGCATGAAGAAAATAACGAGAATAACGGAGACTGGAAATTTTTTAGGCTGACAAGAGAAAAAAAGACAGAATGTATTTTATGTGATACTGACCCAATTGACTTTTCGCTAGATTGCTTATCGGAACACGTAAAAAAGCATTTAGAACGAGAACAAAATCTAAGACGTCATAAATTGGAAGATTGGATTTGGAAATACTTGAAAGAAATTGGAAATTTTTCTGCTCAATGTAAGCTTTGTACAAATAAACCAGAAATTGTAAAATTAGATTTAAAAAATGGGTTAAAACTGCATACGAAGCAACATGAAAATGGGTGCCAAAAAGAGTTACCAGGTAAACAATCTTGGAAATACCTAACTGAAAAGCACTACTTTTTGAATAAATATTTTTCAAAGTTTGCGAATTTTCGAGCAAAATGTCGATTTTGCCAATTCACAGTTGCATATGTCAAGCATCAATCGCTTACAGAACACGTACAGAAACATACAATTACTTCCGGTTTTGAAGAGTCTAAAGACATGGAGAATGACGCTTACTGGACATATTTTAGATTTACGAAACGGGAAAAAAAAGATGAAATAGAATGTATCATATGTGAAAATACTGTGTCAAATGAATACCAAATCAAGAGAAATCACATAGAAAATCATTATTCACAAAAGACAACAGATTTAATGTTTTATAAACATAAAAATTGGGTTTTTAAATACGCAAAACTAAAAGAAGATATTGCAAAATGTACCATTTGTGAAGCAACTATAAACTATCAATTGCATTTAGAAAATTTAAAACTACATATGTCAACACATCAGACCGATCAGAAGAGAATACAACAAGAAGAAATATTTTGGAAATTGCAAACTAAAAAACACAGTTGGTTGCAAAAATGTTATACAGATGCTGGGGATTTTCGAGCACAATGTAAATTTTGCGATTGCAATGAAACATATATCAAGCATGAACAATTCATAGAACACATCAAGCAAGCCCACAATAATGTTCACGACTTTGAACAGTGTAATCCAAGTAAAAACGCAGATCAGTGGAAATATGTAAGGTACACAACAAATGACATTGGAACGGAAGAAACAAAAGTAGAATGCATGATATGTCAAGAAATGGTCTCACTACCTCATTTAAATCATTCTGCAGAAAAGCTAGAATCCTATTCCCAACATTGGGCACTTAAATACGCGAGACAAGATGAATGTTTTGCGAAATGTACGATATGTAAAGATAAAGTAGACTTTGAATTTGACATGGACAATTTAATACACCACATGTTACTTCTACATGACGAGGAATGGGAAAATATAGATCAAAACGATTTGGAGCAAGGAACAGCACACGATCAAGCTGGACCGTCGACAAGCCACGCAAACTGAAAGAAAAATGATCGTAAGTTTCAATCATATTTTATTAATTATTACTTTTCATTAATATTTATCATTAGATTTTATTTTTTCAGTTGTATACTCAATCAAAATATGATAAAAACAGCAAAAACTAATTAATTAATATTGGTTTTGTATATATTACAAATGTTTATATAGATTTATCTACATTTGACAATGGAAATGATGGTAGCGACATTTTTAAGTAGCATCTCATGACCAGCGACAACGACAATCTTGGCATAAGTGATTTGAAATACATGGAGACAATGGCGTACAATTTTACTTATTTGTGGCATATCGGTTTTGTGTTTATAAATGTACAAACTTTGTAAATTTAAATATATGTATATTTATAATATTATAGTTTAACCAAATTCTATAAATTTATGAGAATATATATATATTTATACTTATTATTTTAAAATAGAATATTCTTTAAATTATATTTTAAAATTAAATACTGGGTTAACATATTTATAAAAAACCAAACCGATTTCATGAATATAACAAATTTTTTCTGTAGCGACGAATCTTTGAGTGACATACCCAATACACATGTATATGTATAACAAAATTCAGATAATTAGTACTTGTTCGAAATATGTTACAAATGTTTATGAAAATTTTATCGAATCGCATATTGTAGCTTGAAACAGATACAATGTTCACGTCACTCAATATTTGAAGAAGGAATTTTCTAATTATATATTTTGAAATTCAATATAAAGATATTATTTTTCAAATGTATTTTTATGAAAAAAGTGGACGTCAAAATCTTTAGCAAATTAACGACTGTGTGAAGAAAGAACTGGAGGATTATAAGTATATGTCGTAGTTGTATAGAAGTATTGCTTTTTTGTGCATAAGAAGACAGTAATTCTCCAAATCCATGTACAAAATGTATATTCCTTTAGTACCTTTTTACCATGCTTGCGTAAATACTTTTTGAAGAGTTCGAATGTCTACATTTTATACTGCATAAAATGATTTTGAACAATTATGTAAAAAGTAAAATTTTGGATGTATTGGTAAATGCGCAAGAAACAAACATAATGTCTATGTTATTAAAAATCATAACTTGAAGGCGACTGTGACAGTTTTGAACAAAATTACAGAATATTCGAACAGATGTACGTTTTGCAAAAATAAATATTATTACATTAAATTTTTTAACATTCGTAAACATATAAAAAAAACGTATAAAAATTTTTAAATACAAAGAGAAGAGAAAAGTACAAATACCCGCCGGACATATGTATTATATCAACAAATTTCAACAAATTATGTTTACAATATATTATCTGTGCAAATGTCTCGTCTACATTTGAATCTTTAATAAATAATGCATCAATATTCTAAAGTATTACATGTCATTTTATGTATATTTTGTGCCATTTTTTTTTATTATTTGAATGTTATGCTTATGCTCATATAAAAATTTCTCGATCATGATTAATGTTGTCTTAAAGTTTTATCAGCATATACTATAATATAACTAATATAAATAATATAGATATTAAATGTAAAACTTTGTTACACTTTTACAAATTTTTCTCATATTATTTTTGATTATATAATTTAGTAGAAATCTTCCGCAATGTTATGTGGAAATCTTATGGCATTTCTATATATCTTTACTTTATTATATAATAATTTTTCCTAAAGAATTTTTCATAATTTATCATAACTTACTTTTCATAAACTATGATCAAATTAGATTATTCTCAGTTAGCTGTGCTGCCGATCGAGCAATGTTTCGGACTTATCTTCGCGGAACGTTTCACGCGTTTTGGCATTATCGCGACGCAAACAAACTTAATTCTTCATCTTAATGGAATAATTACGTGCAGTCTAAGCCTGATAAGCGGTCCTACGATGAAGAGATTCATTTTTCGTTAAGTCGCATACATCGGCAGCCTGACGGTCGTTTTCGAAATATGTACAACAGCCTTCACCGTGTCTCTTCCGACTATTACGACTATTCTGATTATTATAAGTCACCGAAAATACATACATCGACAAAAATAAGATACAAATTTTATTTAGAACGCTTCTAAGTAATTTATTAGATATTATTTGTGTTTTAAATAGTAACATTAACTACAAAACACATGTATATTTAAGGTATTGACCAAGGAATTATTTATTTAGGGACAACGTTAGCTTTAAACACATTCTTCCGCAGGAAGCGAAACATTGCTATGGGTTTCGCGGTTACAATGACTGGTTTGGGTCCGATCTTGATGCCACTTTTGATAGACGGATTCTTTGAGACTTACACCACGAATGACACTCTCTTGATTCTTGCTGGGATCGCCGCACATTCCCTTCTTGGTGCATTTCTATTAAAACCATTTCAAGAGCGGAAAGAGGTGAGTTAAAAATACGTGAGAAAAGCAATCTTATTTTCACTTTCCCATTTTATATATATTTAGTATTAAATATATCACAACCGACAATATAGAATTTTTTTTAACAAACTTCTTCCATTTCTTGCAGATTATTTCGGCAGATGCTACTGACCTACTAATTGAAAAAAATAATTCAAAAAGTCAAAATAGAACAGAACATACTGAGGGTAAAGCAGATGTGAAAAATAATACTATCAAAATCACTGAAAAATGAAATCAATCGTGTAAACGATGAAGTAGAATTGAAATAAAGCAAAGAAACTTTGATCTTCTAAAAAATTAATTAATTTAAATCTTGATCTTCTTCGTGATGGTCGTTACATAGCGATAATATTAGGTAGATTCGAAATAATTAAATTCACACAGAGGTCTTACTAAAATCAAATCAATTTTGAGATGACGTGTAACTTTGAAAAACAGGTATAAGAATGTCATTAGTAGCCAAGACAAATTTCAACGCAATGATACCTTTCGTTCTGGCCGAATTGGCGAGTTTTGACAGAATATCGATAGCTACAGTAATGTCAGTTCGAGCCGCTGCGGATATCAAAGGACGTTCGTTTGTGCCGTTGCTGAAATCAATTCTCGGGAAGACTAGTACGTACCGCCAGATAAAGTATACGAACACGAGGAGTGTCTTCACGAATGCCGACAAATCCGCGATATGTGGGGTGGGTTGACAATCATCTAAACGTATTGTATAATAATCATAACAAGTGGACCGCGAAAAGCGCGGTTCGCGAAAGTTCTAATATTTATATCATGACACTTTAATATGTAACGTGATACTTCCGATTTAACAAAATCATTCATTTTTAGTGTTTTGCGTAAACTTTTATGGCTGGATTTTATAAATTAGCACTGGATGTGACACTCTATCTCATTTATTTTTATAATTTCTATCTCACGTATCATACACGCTTTTTCAGATGTTAGATTATATTACATTACTTTATGCATTCTCATATTGTTCGCTTATTGCACTCGCAACAATCTGTCACAGCATATGTGCGACTACCGAGCTTCGAGACATTTCTCGTGCGCACATTTATTAAAAATTATCGTTATTCGTTTAGCGTTATCTTTATCTCGGTATTTAGAGTAGAATTTCAACTTGATAATTCTGTAATTTTTCGAATATTTAATCAATTTGTTGCATTCTTTTCCATTAAATAAGTGTAAATCAACTTTTGGATTTTTAATTCTGCACGTCTTTCTAACAATCTCATATCTTTTTGACAGTTCTGTCGACGTAAGGTGATTTCTATGTCGCTGTAATCGGTGTTTCCATGACCAAAGTGTTTTTCAAGCTCTAATTATTCCCAATTACGTGCCATTGGAGAGCCTGCCGGTTGCATTCGGTATCCAGATGCTTTGTAACGGCGTTCTGTCTATCAGCGTGGGACCAGTCATCGGACAACTTAATAAATATCATAAATTTACTGTAATAAATAATTTATAATTTTTGAATAATTAGTTTAAGCTTTAATGGTTATTGAGACGATATCATCTAATTACATTATATTATTTCTAAGGTTTGATTCGTGATTCCACGGATTAGTTACGTGGGTGCGCTTTATTTTACATCCTTTCTGAGCTTGTCTTGTATTTTTCTATGGACGATAAGTGGACTTTGAAATTCCGGTGGAAATGTTTTAAGATTGACTCAATGCAATTCATTAGCAGAAAAAAAAAGTCTTGTGAAAATACGTAATATTATATTTTCTAATTATATCTGCAGATTTTAGTGGTATAAAGAATTTATATGCATAAA